TTAAATGCTGCAGATATGATGCTGAAGCACATTCGCACACAATAATGTGGCTTTAAATCAAAATACAATGACAAACAACCCAAAGAGAGAAGAAAAACATCATCAAGGAAAAATGTTAAATGTTAAATTAGCAATAAAATCATTTAATAAGAGTCTTTTAAAGAACACAGTAAACAATTTGATTTGTACTTGTTTTGTATGTATTCCTGCACACAGTTATTAAAAATATAGAGTGTAATGTGCCTGCTTGAAGAAATCCGTAATTTTATAAATAAAATATTTCACTTTAACATGATATTTTTGATTTGACATAATTTATATGTAGTTTCCAGCATAATTTATCTTTTATCAATACATAAAGTTGATTTCAGACATTCACAATCATTTATCACAAATGTCAGTTACTAAAAGATTATGAATTTAAAGCTGTAATCTGGAACATTTCCTCATTAAACAGTGTATAAACTCTGGCTCTATGTTCTATACATAGTTGAGTTGTGTTCTTACATTATCCCAAATGTTTCCAACAATATTCAAATTCAGATAAATCTGTCATTTTATTCAGATCAAATCATTTTTGCATCACAATAATCTTTTTCACTGAAAACAATGATGATGTGACATATTTTTGGGTCTGTACCAAACAAACATGTTTTCTTGCATGTGGAGAATATTTGTAGACCAGGAAGTCTCTGAACCACAATACTTCATTATAAAGCTGTTTGTCACACACTCAAGCTTTATTTATTTATTATTTAACTGCAACTTATGTGTAAATAATGTCTGTAGATTTTATAGTAAAAAATTGTCAAACTATGATAGTAAAAGATCGTAAACTCTAAATAGATTAAATTCAGTGTCTGTAAGAGTAAAACACATACGTCAAATCTCATGGCAAAACCTTTATCTATAACAATAATTTTAAAGGAATTTATATGGAATAAAGTAATAATAAATTGTACAGAAAACCACGGTCATATCTGGTGGCAAAACTGCTTCTGCTGATGGTAAAAACTTGTTTTTATATGGTAGAATATGTAATAAAACCCCAACTTAAAATTAAAAGTGCTGCTGTCCTTTTACTGTAAATTACAGTATTTATTACAGTAAAGTCCCGTCAACCACAGAAATCATCATATTGAGATTTCGTTGATATTTTGATTAATTGTGCAGCCGTAGTATATAATTAATCCAAACTGGTATTAATGTACAATGTTAATATGCATTGTTTTATTTTGTGTCTGTGTCTCCTGTAGCCGCAGTGATGGCGATCAGTTTGGTGTTGTGGTATCTGTGTGTTCAGTGGTGGAGTGCAGAGTATACATATAAATCCCCTCTGGTGAACATCATTCAGTGGTGTTCTACAAGCTTTTTGTAGCTTGAAAAAGCTTTTCTACAATTTTATTTTCCTAGGATGGCGAAGGCATGACTCTGATTTGCTTGAGTGGATGAAGTGAGGAATACTTCACTTCATCTTTATTTCATAAAGAACTTTACTGTGAAAATACTACTGGCCCATTTTTGGTGATTTAAATATGCAGGAATATTCTCACATGTCCCTGTTTATGACACAGAGAGTTTATCCTTTGCTTTAAACAAATTTGGGGCACAAATTAAGCGTATACCCACCTCCCCAGACCCCACTACACCACTGTGTGTATTTGTGTAGGTGAGTGATGGGAGTGAGGTCTCTTTAAAGGCAGAGGGAAGGCGACTGGGGAGATGCTGGTTACTATGTTGTTCCAGAAGTTTTGGGTCGGTGTGAGTGGAAACTGTGGAGTTGCATTGAGGACGTACAGTCTGTGTCTGTGGAGCCCTTTCGTTTTATTCTGTGATGAGTTCTGTGTTTGGTTTATATCGAATGAGCTGTAATCTCCACTCAAAACTCTTTGAATGAACTTAATTAAATCATGTAAAGTATTTCCACAGGATCAAATGGTTTTCTTTCAGCACGAAGCAATTCTGTTGTCCCAACTTAATTTGCTTGAGTTGAGTAAACTTAATTTGACTAATTTTACAATTACACTAGTAAATAGACATTTAATCACATGGAACTCCTTTACATGATTTAATTAAGTTCATTCAAAGAATAACTTTTATAACTTTTGAGCGGCCATCCTCATGAGCTTGACACTGCTTTCTTCATTCTAGCAGCCAGCTAAGCTAGCTCCCTTTCTAAAAACATTGAGGTGATTAGACAAACAATGATGAAAAACACTGTAGACAATAACGAACAGTAAATACTATTAACAATATGTACAAAGCTGACTGTGACAAGTGGTTAAACAAGGATGAGACAGAACTAAAAGGTGATTGGTGGTGAAGTAAATGAGCAGATTAACGTCACACTGCACTGTGCAAGTAGAACATTCAATTAATCAGTTGTGTTTATGTTAATTAAATAATTGATTCATGTTTGTTGAATGGTTATAAAAGAAATTGTTGGTCCAACAAGAAAAAATAATTTTATATTCTGACTTGTTGTTTGTTGTACTTTTTTTATGTAAGTTAGACTCAAAAGTTATTCTTTGAATTTACTTAATTAAATCATAAACTTAATTTAATATGATTGATTAAACAATTTTTCCAGTTGTAACATTAAACTAGTAAATTAAGTCAGAATCTCACAATTCAAAATGAGGTTTTCTTGTTGGACCAACATTGTGTTGAATCGTGTCCAAGAAACATGAAACAATCCTTTAATTAATGTAAACACAAAAGATTAATTTAATACTAACACAACTCTTATCAAACACATTTCCTGGTTGTTGAATTGTTATTTAGCAGGAATGTGAGTTTGCAGGTCTGATCTTCACTGTTTGTGTCAGTCAGTGTCTGATTGAACGAGGATTCCTGACTTCAGTGGTTGTAAACAGTAAATCTAAACTCCAGGCTTCAAATGTTCCTTTAAGAAAGTTACGATGGGCCACACAGACATTTGTTATATAATGCATGGAGACAGATAATGCCTTCCTCCTCTTCCTCTTCCACCTCCTATCTGACTCTCAGACTGGAGGAAGAGTCTCGTCTCTCCAGGGTTTTGGCCTCTGTCTCTACAGTTTTTCTAGCTTTTATGTAAAAGGTCGCGCTTACAGAGAGGGAGGACACACACACACACACACACACACACACACACACACACACACACACAAGTTACCTCCCTCTTTCAGTCACTATTATCACCTGAGTAGTTTTCCACTCGCTGCTCCTCATCCATCATTGTCCTCCCGAGTCTCATTTCACACATAAACACTTTACTAATCAATCTGATTGATCAGAGTCAGAATTTATAATTACTGTTTGAAATACAGTTTAGAAATCTTTTCAGACACAGTCTAAACTCCTGTCAGGATTATTTTTGGTCTTGAATTAGGAGGAATTAGGAGAATCCATGACACGCCGCTTTCTCTCTCATATTTTTATTGTTTCACAATAAAAGCAACCCGTTTTGGAGTGCTTTTATTGTGAAGCAGCAGCAGAAAATGTTTAATTTGTGTATTATCAGATACACCTTTAATACTGCTGCAGGAAAGAACAATAATGAGATGAATGTGTTATTGGCTCCACCCCCACAAAAGCTTTGGTGTCGAAGACGTTTCTTAACTCGCTTTGACTTGATATTTGAAAATATTCCGATAACAATTTGGAGATTATACAGACGTGTAAAATGTGTCGTATCTTTAGGATTACTTTAGTTGGCTGCTGTTCAAAATAAATATTTTCAGGTTGGTTTTGATATTTCTGTTGGCACTCTGTATCAATTCCCTTAATGATTCCTGATCACACGAGGAAGCAACAAATGGGGGCTCGTCCAGGATCTAACTGTATATTTCTGGTTTTTAAGAAAAAATGTCCAAATTCTCTGATTTTAGCTTCTCAAATGAGAATATTTTCTGGTTTCTTTCCTCCTCTGCGAAATGTAATATATTTTGGACATTTGGAGACGTGATTGGGCCGTGGGTTGTTTTCAGCATTTTCTGACATTTTATGGACCAAACAACTAACTGATTCCTCCAGAAAATGATAGATAATAGATCAAAATAATCATTAGTTGCAGCTGTAGTTTAAATGTGCTGAGCTGGCAAATAATTTTACTTGAAGTCCCTATTCAGCATTTATAAAAGGTATATAAATATATATTAAGTTGTTTAAAATACATTATAAAGCAGTTATATGCAAACATTTTATATTATTTAGTGCTGTCAAACGATTAAAATATTTAATCACGATTAATCGCATTAATGTCATAGTTAACTCGCAATTAATCGCAATTAATCGCACATTTGTGTCTATGAAAAGTGGATCGGCTTGCTTTGTGCAAATTTTAGTTCAGTTAGTTCAGTTTTATTGAAAAATCATCCATTGTTGCCTGGTTTTAACGAGGGGGCGGAGAATTTGCATCAGCTGTGTGCGTGGCCATCAAGTGGTATTTCAGACTGGACGTGCTGCGATGATAGCTCAGTTCACAACGACAGAACACACAGATCACTTTGGTCTTGTCAATGGAACCATTTGGCAACTTTTTAAAAGTAAACTGTCCATTCAGAATATTATTGGCATCTATTTCGGCGTCTCGCGCTCGCCATCCACTCAAAACGTAACGTCTACTACTCTTAAACAAGTGTGTGCAGCGTGCCTGTTGTTCTGTTTCCAGTCTAGCTAGATCCGGTGTGGTGTTGTAGTTTTTCTAACGTTACTAGTTGTTGCAACAGCATGTGAAAAGAACTACAAAGTGTGCTAGGCCAAAAAGAACGTTAATCTTGCGGGGGAAAAAATTGACGCTGTTAAAAAGGGTTTGCGTTAACGCTGTTAATAACGCGTTTAACTGACAGCACTAATATTATTACATCATTACATTGTCATTCATTATCTATTGTACATATTTCTATAGTAACTACATGAAGTGAAGAGTTACTGTGGCTGTTCATATATGTATTGATATACGTATTGATAATGTGTAGTTTATAGAATAATAACATGTTCCTCTCTGTCTGTTTCAGCGGTGTGGGTTTAGCCCGAGCTCACTTTGAGAAGCAGCCTCCGTCCAACCTGAGGAAGTCCAACTTCTTCCACTTCGTGCTGGCGCTGTACGACAGGCAGGGTCAGCCGGTCGAGATCGAGAGGACTTCCTACATAGACTTTGTGGAGAAAGACAAGGTGAGGCAATGTTTACCCACCTTAAAGAGTCAAAAACTATTAAAAACTTTATTTATACGTCCGGCTGCCACAAATGTTTACTAGAGCACCTAATGTGGATTCATCCGCCGCTGAAAATAGTCCCTCACAAAGACCTCCTGTTTGTTTCATAAAAACTACAGTGAGCAGCTGTTTTAGGAAATTACTGAACTTTTTTATACTTCTAATCTTTTTATAGTTTAATCACAGTTTTAATAAAATCACAGTTGGTCGAGAGGTCTTCTTTATTTTAAGGTTGTATGAAAAATGTAAATATAGACAGTAGGTTGATATCCCAGCATTTTATTCATTTCTATGAAGAAAACTTTCTCAAAATATCAGGAAAACTTCCTGCAGTTAGTGAGTTCACTGTTTGTGTTCATTGTTCAGTTGATCAGCTGTTCTCTGCTGTTATTGATATTGATCAATAGAATATGAAATATACAGTAAATACAGTTACTCACTGATAGAAGAGGAAAAAAGCTGGGAATTATTGCTCAAGACCACAAAGTTTAATTTATAAAGAATATTTGTGAGGTATTTTTAAAATAGTCAGTAGGAACCAATGCACTCGGAGCCACAGACAGGAAGTCAGACAGTATTTAGAGACGGACGGACAGGTCACATGTAAGTCTGAACATGAAATTGAGTAATGATAACAAAAACATAGAATAACAGAAGACTTATGGTTACATCATATAAAATACTACTACTACTACGATTAATAATAATAATAATAATTTCCAGACAGGTTGGGAGTGTTTGTTGTTTGATCGGCTGCCAGCTGGCACTAAATCCTCCCCTCCACTCCACCCACTCACTCGCTCACCTCACCTCTGCTTTGACCTCTAGTCTCTCGCCCCCGATACCCCCAACACTCACACACACACACACACACACACACACACACACACACACACACACACACACACACCTGGGACTGAGCCAAGACTCGCAGGCACTGTTGGCACCGAGCGGCCGACTGACGGAGACTGAAAGGAGAGCGGGAAGAGAAATAAAAGTGGAATAAAGGTTGAAAAGAGAAAGAGAGGAAGGGGTGAGAGAGGGTCAGGAGAGGGGGGGGCACGAGAGAGAGAATAAAAGATGTTTTTATCTCCGAACACAACTCTCTCACTATTTTGGTGGCTGTAATGTAATGATTCGTGTTTATACGCACACAGAGAATATTTCAATAAAAAGAGAGAGAGACACAGAACAGACAGACAGGAGAGACAGAGGAACTTCTGACTTGTCACATTATCACTTGGTTGTGGGGGTCAGAGGTCAAAGGTCAGCCAGTAGTTATCATGATCCAGCTGCTTCCAATTCAAACTGAACAATAAGTAAATATAAACTGCAGTAATGACAGTTATAACGCTGAAAACTTTTCTCTTTTGCTTAAAATAATCAGACTTTATATGGAAGCTTATTCCTGCCAACAAAAGATAGAATAAATAAAATATCAGGAATGACAAAAATAAAAATAAAATATTTTACAATTTGTCCCAAAAATTCGTTCGTAATTCTGATTTAAAAAGTATTTTTTTATTATTTATTATCCTTTCATCCATTTTTTTCTTTTGTTGGCAGAATTTTTTACTCTATAATTATAACTATAATACTGACCTTTCATCTTATTAGTAGTAGGCAAAAAATATTGTAAGTTCAAACTTTGAGATTTAATGTCGACATTACAACGTAGAAAGACAAATAGGTGATTTCTTAACTCAGAACTTACAAGAAAAATGCTCTGAGGTAAAATTGACTATTTTTCTTATTGAGACACAAAAATGTTATTTAAAAAATTTGAATCTCAAAAGTTTTGCTTAGAAATTTAACTAAAAACATAACTAAAAAATCTGATTATTACAAAGAGCATTGAGCAGACAATAAAATAAAAAAATACAAATCAGTGTGTGATCAGACGTGTTTCCATTCTTCCAACACTCACAGCACAGTGTCTGATAAGAGGCAGTGTTTACAGTGTTTACAGTGCTGCAGTGTACATGAACACAGGAGCAGGTCTGACTGTGAGCACTGAAGCTGCCCGCTGTGCGCAGCCTCGCCGGCGGCTGCTGGACAACTGTAAACGTTTGATCTCACCTTCATGGCGGTAACTCGGCGTGTAACGTGTGATCTGTGTGTTTGTGTGACAGGAGTACAACGGAGAGAAGACCAACAACGGGATCCACTACAGGCTACAGCTCCTCTACAGCAACGGTGAGAAAACCACACACCGAACAGCAGAGACACTAATGTAGAGTAGAGGAGATCCACAGATCTGGAGTCTATAGATAATGACACGGTTTTGGAGTGAGCTAAGAAACGATGTGGTCCTGCTGGAGTCAGATTAGAAAATAAAAATACAAGGCAAAGATTTTGTGTTCTTATTGAACTTATCTGCAAAATCTGCTCCTGACAACTGAAGCAGATTAACATGTTTATGGTTGCGTTCACACACGTTTCTACAGTAGCCCAGAACGGACAAACCAAACACTGGACCTAGATGAGGCCTGTAGCGTTTCGCAGCAACTGTAGTTTCTCCCATATGCTTGTAAGGTGAGGGGGAAGCAAGGGAGCTGCAATCTGTAACCACACAAAGTTACTCAAGTTACTTTAAACTAATTGTTTAGTTGTGGTTTTAATGGGACACCAGCAGCGGTCTCCTGGGTTCAGGACCTGTGTTTGTTTGAGACACCACTTATTAAAGAGTTGGGTTTAACTCATGTGAGTGAGTTGTGTTAACTGACCTCTTTATGAAGACATGCTGTTAGAGTTTACGGTGTGGTGTGGGCAGGTGTTGTGCTGTAAAAACAAACAAAAGCAAACAAAAGCCACATATAAAGGCGCTGTAGAGTGAGGAGGCTCAAACAGAACTGGCTGCTGCTCTGGATTTATTCATGGAGCTCACCGGGACCAGGTGTGTCCCAGACCGCTGATTAAACCTCCTAATGAGGTCTGCAGCCCTGGAGAGAGAAAGCAGCTACAGCACAGAGTCCAATATTTACGTCTTTAGGGCCTGAAACAGTCGTGGAAACACTCTCTTATACACTGACTGAAATTAAGACTCAACAACAGAGGAAGGTAGAGGATGCAGTGAAGCAGCGTGGGATCATCTTCCTCACCATTGGTGTCATTGCAGTCAGCTTCTCCCGGTTAGGATTCCTTCAGTGTTCATGGTTCAGGAGGTTTCTACCGGGAGCCCAATGATCCACAGAGGTCTCCTCCTCTCCAACACAAACAGACCCGCTGATTAAAACCACTAAACACACTGAATAAAGCAGTTCCACCTTAAACACACTGAATAAAGCAGTTCCACCTTAACAATCACTGCTTCTCCCACGCTGGACCAACTTTATCTCATAATTTAAGAATAAATGTACAAAAGTACAGGAGTATCCAGGTAGATACCAAACAGTAATAATACTAATAACATTATAATAAAACTATATGATATAAACAGTGTTTACCAGTTATTATTATTATTAGTAGTAATTCTCTGTTTGAAGACGAGTTTGAACATTGTTGGAAACATTTAGGGTAAGAGAACACAACTCAGAGAGTAGAATTCATAAACTCTTTAATGATTATAGATTATTGATTGAATCAGCTACATATAGAACATAGCTCTAGAGTTTACACCCTGTTTAATGACGAAATGTTACAGATTATAGATTTAAATTTGGCCTTTTTTAAATGGCACCTCTGCACTGGCGGTCAGGTGAGTCTGTTCAGGTATTGATTGATGAACTCGCAGGTTTCTTTGTTGGTCTGCAGTTGAACTTTCCTGCATGAATTAGAGGACTTTATATTAAAGGTCACCTCGGCGGACTTATAGTGGAAGTGAACTGCGAGGCTGGAAAAAGTTTTTCATTATCAGCACACAGAGAGAGAGAGACAGCAGCTTTACAGACATCTGGAATATCTGACAACTAACCAAACCTGAACTCTGTTTTGTCCATTGAGGTGGGGGGGTAGCGGAGGGATCTTTTGCTGATTCAAAACACACAGCTCGGCTCTGTGCTGGCACGAGTCCAGACCTGCAGGAGGAGGACGGCCGTAATGCTCTCAGACCCCTGCAGAAACACCAGATAAAGTGGGACATAAAAGAGCGTTTCCTTCCAAAGGGGGATAAATCACTCTAATATGAGTCGGCGGCGTCGGATTAGCATCGTACGGAGGTAATTGACCTCATCTGCAACCGGGACAGATAGCCGCCATTTAGTGCTGCCGACTGCTCGGCACTCAGCCGCGGCGCGAGGAGTGAATCATGTCAATTAGAAAGCAGAGGAAGCTGCGAGGAAACGGCCCGAAAAACAAGAAAGGAAAAAAGCCTTGAATACAATTAGAGTTCCTCCGCCGCTAACAGGTGTTCCCTGCAATTTGCTTCCTCCACCCCATGTCGTGTTTGTGTCACATTTACGCTCGGATGCATAGCTAATAAAAGACAAGCAATCCTGATTGATATTTAATTTGTCGGAGAATGAGGATTCCTTGTTATCCTTGAGGAAAGAGGCAGCGGGAGAAGGGCGGGGCGGTGGGGGGGGGGGGCCCGGCAGTTAAAGGCGGTCTGGCCTATAAATAATAAACAGCTCTGGAGCTAATGTTTGTTTTTGCTGAGGGGGGTTAGCGTAGCCGGGACCAGATGACAAGAAAACATAAATACACTACCGGGACATAAATAATAACAGAATTCATTTACAGAATCTTTTGTTGGGGAGGATTTCTCTCTTTTTTTTTGCATTCTGGGATGAAATTAGCATATCAGGCTAATGCATGTATGTATGTTGGTGGAGTAAATGTGTCAGCAGGCAGTCGGCTCACACTCGCACATAATTACGACCGCGCAGCTCGTTAGTGTTTGTTTCTGCTGTTTATGTTTGTTTGTTTGTGTCTTTCAGGCATCAGGACAGAACAGGATCTTTATGTCCGGCTCATAGACTCCATGACCAAACAGGTAAGAAACCACACCAACACAGAGACTCACAACGGACACAACAGACCTGAACCCACTGTTTAGATTCACGTGCATCCTAGAAAATGTGGAAAACATGGACAGTTTTCCAGTTATGGAAACTCTTGGAAATGGATTCAATTCACCAAATATCCTGGAAATAATCTGTTGGGCTGTAAAATACGTCTGCGTATTTAGTTTGAAACTCGGCTGTCAGGGTTCCCACTGGCTCACACACTGTTATACCAGTATAGGTCTAATATTGACACCTCCTTGTTTAATGACGCAGGTTCATTATGAAGTTCAGGTTGCTTACAGGGAGAAGGTCAGAGTTTATGAGACACTCCACATTTATTCATTTAGTTTGATGGTTTTTCCAGTTTTTTCCCAGTTTTCCTCTGATAGTAAGATGTGGGCGGTAGTAGCTCAGTCTGCAGGGACTTGTATTGGAAACCGGAGGGTTCAAGTCCAGCACAAACCACATTGTGGAGTTTGGACTGGTAGCTGGAGAGGTGTCAATTCACCCATCAGGACCCATCAGTCCATTTCTCTCCACGTTTGCATGTCAATAAGCCCTTCTTTGGCCACAGCCCATCAGTAACAGTTTAAATTAAGCATTAAATCTCATGTTTCTGATATCACTGTATTGATTATAACCTGTTAATCAGCAGTAATGATTGTGAATCAGTTGTGTAACATCACACAGTCTGGTTGTTCAACACACGGAATAAATAACTTCCAACTTCACTGAAACTGATCCTGGTGGACTGATCGATATGATGGATAACGTTAACAGTTACTGTGGTTCATTCGGGCCCTGCTCTGGTTCTGTGGCTCATTCGGGCCCCACTCCCCGGCAGTATTCCCCGTTGGGTCCCTCTGCTGCCACACTAGCAGTGTTTAAACTGCCCCTGTCCTTCCAGCTCCCAGTCCGGGTACAGACAGCTAATAGGACTGCTAACGAGCTAATAGCAGCAAGTACAGTTAGCATATGCAGTGAGGTCAGTTATATGAGTTAGTGAGCCAGTGCTGTCCTGAAGAAATCTATAAAAGACGAATAAACTACTAAACAATAAACATGCTCAATTTCCTATTAACTCAATACTTTTCTGCATGGAGTCGTAATCCTTTAAGATCTTGATGCATCTAAGATCGATTATTCCCCACCTCTACTTGTTTGATCCAAACAGAACCAGTTTGTGGTTTCAGGGCGAGTTACACACCGGAACTACTTTCTGTTTCCTGACAAATAGTTCCACTAGAAACACATATTTCCTCTGACCCACTGAGTCCAGAAGCCTGCTCCGACTTTACAGTCCGGTTATAAAACAGAAAGCAAATCAAACACTCAATGAATCAACCCGGTTTCTAACCTCAGAATGTTCTCAAACTCTCTCCTCAAACCGTCCAACCCTCCTCCTCCTCCAGCAGCACTGATGTGTTTTCCTTTCCAGTGGAGCGGCTCGGTCTTTAGCCGACTCCAGATCCTCCCACTTTTCCGGTTTTCACTCACTCAGAACCCCCGTGTGGGATCTGAACCTGCGAACGGCGTCTCTGCCAAGAAAAACCCCCAAATATTTCCAAATTCCACTCGACTCCGCCAGCCGACCTCCCGGATTCATTCCTCAAGTTCTCTCAGCTCCAGATCCTCCTCTTCCTCACACCTTAAGGTCGACTCTGAAAATATTATTATATAATCTGTGACCTACCAAAGAATGCACATTAATTAAATCTTTAATTTGTTATTGTACAAAATTAAATTTAACAACATAAAACAGCTTTAAAATTCCCATCTCAGCTGCTTTATGTGTACATTTAGTTTCAGCTTTTCTTTTTCAAAACAGAATCATTATATATGTTTTCACTTTGTTCCTCCAGAATTTGAGGTGCAAATATTTAAAATTGAGACAGGTTTAATTAATAATTATAATAATTAATATAATTATTATATTATAATATATTTTTGTATTATTACTGTTCAACACAAAGCTCTTTTTCTTCATTTCTCTAAAATACTAATTCACCCCAAAAATGCTCACAGCTGAATTATTATTGACCTGCTGCCCTGTATACATTATATTAAACATTATATTATACATTACATTATACATTATATTATACATTACATTAAACATTACTTTTATACATTATGTAGTGTGTTGCCTTCAGGTTCCTATAAAGTTCAGTTCATTATAAAGGCAGACATCCAGAGACCTGTAGTCAAATAATGTCTAAAAATCAATGTCAGCATGTAAAACTAAAATAATAAAAGTCTGTAAAGTAGATTAAGATCCATAATGAATCCTGTTTTAGTCGATATTGAACTTTACTGGTGCAAATTCCCATTCTTCCCAGTTGCTCATTCTGTCCAAAATGGAAGAAATCTGCTCGTTAACCAATGTCAACACTTGTTTAAATTCAGTGACATTGAATAAAATAACACTGATTAACCTCCACCAGTCCTCCCAGTTACACCTCCCACTTAGTTTCCCCCCCACCCAGTCATATCACCCCCCCTCCCCGCTGGTTCGGCCCTGCCGGCATGTCACCAATCGATGTACCAAACGGCTCCTCGACAAAGCGTCAGCCACGGAAACCGATCAATAGGCCCTAATGTGGCACAGCGACGGCACACTGGAGACAATAATCCTGACACCGCCCCCCACCCCCACACGTCTCCACCTCCACCCTCCCACTACATGACACCCCATTGGTCTACAGTCAGACCTGACAGACGGGTCGGCTGGAGTCCCTGCGGATCGATAAGACCCCGTCGAGGGCGTGTTAGGGGCCCGCGTCCAGAGCGAGGAGCAGCTGAATGCTGATTGGACCGCGGAGTGACATCGCAGTGTGACATCAGCGGTTAGATCTCTGCGGGACAGTTTTTATATTTTTAGAAGAGGAGCGAGGAATATTTCAGAGCGACAAACAAAAAGTTTTAGAAGAAACTAAATCTGAGACTGAACTCCTCCAGAATCAGCCTAATTTCTCTGTCTACTGCTTCACTTTTTACTCTACTTGTGAGGACCACGAAGACTAACATGGACCTGAACCCTCAAACAGAGTCTGAAACCTGAAACAGCCCAGTAAAGACACCAGAAAAATGTCCTCACTTTACAAAATGTTCACATGTTAAGTGTCCAGATCTGTAATTTGTAGTTTCTAAAAATGTCGGCACTTTTACAAAAGTCCTCAATTTAAAAAAAAGGTCTTCCATTAACAAAAATGACTTTTTAAAAACCTCACAATTGAAAAGCTTTCCTCACTTTTCGGAAATCAGAATCACTTTATTGATCAGGTCTGTTCACATACAAGGAACATTCAGTTTTGCTCTCAATGTACAAACACAGACTAACAGCATAAATAATCAGAACAAATTGGACAGAATAGACACAGACTAATATGTACAGTTATACATCAGTTATACATTTAAACAAACAAATAACATTTGTTGACAGCAGTGCAAAAGATGCTGACAACGGCGTCTTCACTTTTAAACAACGTCCTCACTTTTAAACAATGTCTTCACTTTTAAACGTCTTCACTTTTAAACAACGTCCTCACTTTTAAACAATGTCTTCACTTTTAAACGTCTTCACTTTTAAACAACGTCTTCACTTTTAAACGTCTTCACTTTTAAACAACGTCTTCACTTTTAAACAACGTCCTCACTTTTAAACATGTCCTCTTGGTCGAGGTGTGAATATGTAGCCGGTCCTCACAGAGACAGACAAACAGAGCACACACTGGCAGCAGAACGTGGACATTAACCCACAAACAGGCATGAAAGTGGACATGCAATCACACACTCGCGGGACTCTTGCATCAGGAATGATGATGTATAAATATCGACCACCAAACTACACACAGCGTACGTGTATGTGTGTGTGTGTGTGTGTGTGTGTGTGTGTCCCTGATGCAATCCACATCCCTCCTGGTCAAACTGGAGCGTTTTAATCCAGAGGAACAGAGCCAGCATCAGGATCAATAATGCAGAAGTGGTCGTTATCCTAAAAGTATTGTCCCCCAGGGGTGTGTGTGTGTGTGTGTGTGTGTGTGTGTGTGAGTGAGAGTGTGTGTGCGTCCTCCCTTCTTTTCCTACAATGACCTACCACTACCTCATCCACCTTTATAGTCAAAACAGACCTCCGCCCTGCACACACACACACACACACACACACACACACACACACACACACACACACACACACACACACACACACACACACACACACACACACACACACACACACACACACACACACACACACACACACACACACACTCACACACACACACACACACTGTTACTGGAGTTCATTTACAACCACCAGGGTATTACAAAAAGCTCCACACTCACACACACACACACAGCGGTCATCCGTCATCCGGACGCTGACATGACAGCTCAGTGGGGGGGAGTGGGAGGGGGAGGAAGGGGGGGCTTCATCCTGGGGCGCCGCCCGCCATCTGGCAGGGAATTCTGGGAAGGCTGGAGGAGGCTGAGACCACCAAAAGGGGAGCTGGTGGAGGAGGAGGGTCGGTGGCCATGTTTGACTTTGTTGTTGGTGCTGAGGTCCAGTCAGAGAGTTCTCACACATCAACACGGTGAACTGGTCCCAGTGGCAGGAAACTGGTTCATCTGTATTCTGATTTATATATTAACTGGTCTGAATGTGCACTAAATATGTCTGAACTGGTTTATAAACTGGTTTAAATACAGTAAATGGTAAATAGTAATAGTAAAATCTGAAGAGTAGTATTTAGTTTTAACCAGCGACAACAAACAATAATTTATCTGAACGTCCAACCCTCGACCCTCCTCAGTGTCTGAACTACTACTACTACTGCTAATAATAATAATAATAATAATAATAATAATAATAAGTGTACCTCAGTGAGTCTCACCGCTCAGTGTTTCTGTCCCATCAGGCCATCCTGTACGAAGGCCAGGACAAGAACCCGGAGATGTGTCGCGTCCTCCTCACCCACGAGATCATGTGCAGGTAAGATATTAAACCCTGATTACGGTCTCACAGGAGCTGCTCAGGGACTCGGTGCCTTGCTCAGCGGCACGTTGGCTGCCGTTATAACTTTTTAATGTGAACACACAGTGTGTAATTATCTGCCACTGTGGTGTGTATTTATATTAATATAAATTCAGATTATTAAAGATACTAACTGGTACTTAGATACTGAAGTTCAGTCAGGTTGTTCCTGAGTATCTGTCTAATTTATAAGTTAATTATTTTTAGTTTATTTCATTTTCACTGCGATCAAACACCCAGAATGCCTAGCAACCACCTAGCAACCACATAGCATCACCTAGCAACCACAGCTACATAGCAACCGTCTGCCATCCGACTTTACCATCCAGCAACCAGAAGAAGTATTCGGATACTTCATTGAAGTAAAAGTACCAGAATAATACTGCAAAATATACCTAATTTAAAATTTTTATCCTACTTTAGTAAAGTATCAGCAGTATAAAAACAGCAGTTCATGCAGTAAAAGTACAGTGACAGCTATCTCTGTGACATTATTGGATTGAAATCAGTAATCAATAATCAGTGTTAGAGCAGCACTGTACTGTTTGAACTGGTTTATACACAGTGAACAGTTAAGTCCACTGGTTCCCAACGTACAGAGCTCGGGGTCCTCCAGACGTTCTGATACACAAATCTGAACATTTCTATAATCCTTGATTTATTGTGAAATATCCAATAATTTAATCAATACAAGGTTGATAAGACGATGTTTTCTGAAAACTCAGATACACAAAAACACTCAGATTTGATATCAGAGACACTTGAACTCATCATATTTAATGTAAAATATTGATCTGAGATGTAACTACAGCTGTGAGTTAAAAGCTTCATTTTATTTATGAGGTTTGGTGTAAAGATAAAGGAGAAAAGATTCAGAGCTGAAATGTCAAATTCATATAAGAGAGACAACAGTGTGTGTGTGTGTGTGTGTGAGTGTGTGTGAGTGTGTGTGTGTGTGAGTGTGTGTGTGAGTGAGTGACTGTGTGTGTGTGTGTGTGTGTGTGTGTGAGAGAGAGTGTGTGTGTGTGTGTGTGTGTGTGTCTATAAGAGAAAAAAGAGCAGCTGTTGGTTTGTCGTTCATCACACCAATCAACACGTTTCCTGCCCTGCGTGTCTCTGCTGTCGGCTGAGAGTTAATGGTTTTACTGGTTCAGACTGAGGAGTGAAGAAGAAGAAGAAGAGGAGGAGGAGGAGTGGGGGGGTATAAAAATAGGACACACACACACATAAATAACAAACATATACACATAAAGAGTGTCTTTGTGTGTTTGAGTCGCTGCAGCTTTAAGACAAGAAAACACGTTTAGATTGAATTTATTTAGTTCAACTCATCTGGTCCCAGTTCAGTAAACTGGTTAAACTGGTTCGTCTGTTCTTGATAGTTAAAGCACAAAATGATCTGCAGTAAACTGGTTTCTGTCTGTGGTTAACTGGTTTAGGAGCGCTGTTGCAGAGGCGTGCAGTAAACTGGTTAATCTGTGAACTGAATATGGGTTTGTATGTAAACTTGTATAAATGTGCAGTAAATTGGTTTAAATATGAACTTTGGTGGTTTTATTGGTTCAATAAAGAAGTTACGTACATTTAGTCTTTAGATCAGAACCAGATCCAGAACCCAGAATTAGTCCTGTAGTTTGACCTCGTACACCTGCTGTGTATCACCTCCTCCTCTTCTTCACCACAACTTCAGGATCTCTAAACTTCTCCTGCTCTGACTTTTATCGGGGCATCGAGCTCATTTCCCCCCCGCGAGATTCCTTCGATACGAGCTTCATTTCCATAATGACGGCTGGCTGTCTGCGTCTCTGAGCTTCAGTCATTATGTGATTGAGTGCGATTATTAACCAGCGTTCCCCCTGATGGATGCTGTGTTTCCATTCGCTAATGAGTGAGGGATCACTCTTTCCATCTCTCTCTCTCTCTGTCTCTATGCTGCTCCCAGGTGGGGGCGTCTTTATTGGCGTCCCTGTTGGTTTGTCTACCTGGATCACACTCGCCAGGCTGCACCTTTTGGGTGTAGCACCTGTTTCAGTGTGTACAGGTGGAGGAACACCTTGTCACCCCCCCACCCCCACCCCCCCCCCACCCCCAGTGGGATTAATACAACAAGACAATACCAGGGTCCATCTGTAATATCAAACTTTTAATGAGGAGATTTTAATTTACATCCCTCATTTTTATATTTAAACATAAAATTTTACAAAACTTGTAATACAAAAAAGAATTCTCTTAATGTCGGTAATCAACTGGGGAAGTTTCATCCTGATATCTGTTAGTTAATATTTTTACCCTATTCACCTGTAGTGAATTTTACAGTAAAAAGCTGTTTTTCCAAACCTTCCAGTTTCATTGCTCTCTGAAGGTTTTTACTGAAGGCTTTGTTTCTTTATCATTTACAGCCTGATTTATATATTTACTGCTAAAAACATGGAGAAAATAGTTGTTTTTAAATGGCTGTTGACATTATTTTCTGAATAAGGAATAATATAATTTATCTAACATGTAAAAATCTTTGACTCTAATTTCTCAGATTTTTCTTCTGGAAATAAAAAGTAGAACATTAAAACATAAAATATTTAAACATACAATTTCAGAAAACTGTACTTGATATGCTACGTGCTAGGCTAACCTATGTTAAAATCACATTTTGGTTCAAAGTTGAAAGATAAAAGAGACAAATAATATATATATATAATATATAATATATATATATATAGTCACATCTTAAGGTAGCTAATGTTAGCAAAACACTCGCTAACTAACTGGTTAATCTACATCCATTGTTAGCTAGATAATTAGCTTCCATTTTGCTAACATTAGTTAGCTAGATGAGATTATCTTTGTGTCTCTTTTATCTTTATAACTTTTAACCAAAATGTGGTTGACTTTCCAACATAGATTAGCTTAGCACGTAGCATATCTAAGTACAGGAGAGGAGGAAGTTGACCGAGGTTCTCTCAGCTGTGATTGGAGCAGAGACGGATCAGTGTTCGATATTGTCTCATTTAAACATTTTAGAAAACTTGTAATAATGTCAGTGATCAGCTGGGGAAGTTAATTCACCTGTAGTGTTTGTACATCCACCTTGACCTTTGACCTCCTGTTGTGTAGAACGTCCTACGACAGACACATTAGAACCAAGGTCTCTGTGTGTGTTTGAGCTGCCCTCTCCATCCTATCCTTGCAGCCATTAACCATTCTTAAACGGGGCTCTGCCGCTTTCCAAAACTACCAATCACAACCCAGCGAGCAGGCATGGCGGCGGCAGCCAGGTTGGCACGCCGGCGTTGCCAGCGGGCTCCCGGAGGCTCGCCAGCTCCTCGCCTCGCCGCCACCTCGCTGGCTGCCAGGCTGCGGGCGATGCCGAGTAAAAACCTGCTGCCATTGCTCGCCGAGAGGAAGGCGGCGCTCATCAACAGGCCTGGCTGCCGCGGCGTTCCAGGCCTTCGGGTAATTACAACACTTGCCCTTTGAAAGTGAGCCCTGCGCTGCCGGCCCGTCCTGCTCGGTGTTATCTGGACGCTGTGATCCGAGCGCCGGCCCCTGACGCGGCGCTGCACGCTCCCCGGGGAGCCTTTGAAGGGCTCTCTCAGTGTGTGTGTGTGAGATAGCGCCGACATGCCCGGACAAACCTTCTCTTTGTGCCTTAAGTAGATTCCACTTGTGGTGGCGTCTGAAGTGGCGAGGAGGAGCAGCCAGCGGTAATGATGCTTGTGTGGCCCCGGCCTAGGCTCGCCGGCCAAACTGGCTCCTGTGGCTGAATTATTTTTAGGGCCTGAGAGTGTGTGTGTGTGTGTGTGTGTGTGTGTGCGGTGGCTCTCTCTCTCCTCGCCAAAATGAGTGACAGTGGCACCAACACACACACACACACACACAAAAAAAACACACACTGTTTGTTTTATTCTCACACTCACTCACACACACTCTCAGGTTGGTGTGTGTTGTTCCTCTCAGTCATTAGCCGGCCGTGGTGTTAGCCTGTTTGCGGCCCGGGGGGAAACGTCATTAAGGCGATATTGTGGACGCTCAGCCAAGGTTTGTTTTCGTCTTTGGAAAGGGGCCCCGGGTCCCTGGAGGGGCCCCGGCAGTGCTCCTGGGGTCCAGTTTGTTTATAACACTTCTTTGGCAGTTTGGAGGAGGTTGTCACCACAGCAGCACCAGTGGGTTTCCAATGCTAATTGGTCTCCTGGAACTTTCACTAATGGTTCCAAGTAGCTGGGGGAATAAATTATTGTGGCGCATTCTATGGCAACAGTCACACATACACATCCATACAGACACAGCGAGGCAGCGGGGACACAAACACAGCGCTTACTTTATGATTTTTCTGTACTTAGAGATCAAACGGCGTGATAAATGATTCATAAAGCGTCTCATTTGGCATTCGCTGCCTCGATTTGACGCTTGTTTGTCAAATGGCAATTTGATTCAGGACAGCATGGGGGCGAGCGCGGGAGCGTAATTGGACGTCGCGGGTCATATGCAATATGATTAATTTTTAAGAATTACCGGAAGATATGTTAATGACCCTCGCAGCGATAAGAAGCTCGTCAGAAGATCAGGATGAAATCTGCTGTCTGTTGTTATTAACGACCGCTTCTGTCGCTCTCACATCGCGTCTCACAGAGTTCGACTGATGTTCGGCGCCATAAATTCATCCTGACAAACTTCTGACATCGTCGGAAGTTGAAAACGTGAATATTTCCTCTGAGACACAAATCTTTTCCTCATGTTTAGTTCATTTAGAGAGCAAATGGATTCAAACACACACTCAGAAAGAGACAGAAATCATCTGAAGTCTCTTTCCTTCTGAAACACGTGTAAATGTTGGAGGAAAATTAATTCATTATTTGATATTTTTATGCATGTAGGTAAAAATAACACGTTATTGATTTTCCTTTCAAAATATGACCTTTATTTTCCAATTTACAGACTCAATCTCCAGAGATAAATCAGCCTTTTACGGTATAAATGTAACATTTTCCTCTTTTAAATAATAATAATAATAATAACTTTATTTGTACAGCACCAGTTTAACAGACAGAGCAAAACAAAAGCTGTAATACATAACAACATAATTAAATATGTAAATAACAAATACCAAAAATACAACAATAAGAGCAGAATTGAAGCTATAAAATAAAATAAAATGGGTAGAATAAAGTAGAAAGATGAAAATAGTTCATGTGCCAACTTTTAAAACATTTTCTAAACAATTATTGATCTTCTTTCTGTCGTGTTTTGTATAAAAATCTTTAAAATCTCTGACGTCAGACTCCGGTGTAACTCCGGTGTTTGTTCCTCCGGAAGCTGTTCAGCTAGCGCTAGCTGTACGAGCTAACTAGCTAATGGCAGCTAACATTACTGTTAGCGACAATTAGCTTCTTTTAGCAACAAGTCCATCTGTAAACTCTATAAATCAGCTCGCTGTCCTCAAACTGTCCTCTGTCCGTCTCTGCGGTGGTGTTCAGTCAGTTTGTTCTTTCAGAGCAGAATGAGACTTTTATTGTGAAAGTTATAGTTTTATTGTGGAATAATCTGCCTCTGAAGTTATAAAGTAACATCAACTGTAAATGTTAAATCCTAAAAGTACATTATTATTATTATTATTATTATTATTATTATTATTATTATTATTTAAATAAACCTATTCTGAATCCCGTGGTGTGTTCACTGACAGCAGGTTTTCCTGCCACTGTCTGATGGGTATTAATGTGTTGGACTCAGTCCGCCGCTGTTCAACATGCCACACTGACCCAACGACACCAGAAGCCTCATTTGGCTCCACCCGTCCCCCGTAGAGCTGAAACAGAAACCCAGCACTCCCCCTCCTCCCCCCCTCCCCCCCTCCTCCCTCCGGATGCCTCCACAGACCAGCTCCTGAAACACTCGCCGGCCAGTTTGCCCTCTGGCTACCTGGACGGCTGTTTTGGCGAGCAGCCGTTGGGTTGGCTGGCTGGTTGTCAGGGGCGACGGGTGCTGGGGGCCGGGGCCGGGGGGGGGTCGGTCCACAGTGGTGCCTCCATCGCTGGGCATCATCCAACTGTTAGTGACCTTGGCTTGGACCCCACCCAGCTGGACAGTGTGTGTGTGTGTGTGTGTGTGTGTGTGTGTGTGTGTGTGGCGGCAGGGCTGCTTTTCAGAATAAAAGTCAACATTTTGGAGATACAGAATTTGGTAATACTTTATTTTGCAGTTCTTGGAAAGTATTCTGGTAATAATTTTAGGGAAAATAAAGATAAAGTTCTTAGATCTTAGATTTTAATTTAATGTATTTATGTATGTAAATACTAATGAAGTCAGTACTAAAGTTGTCATTTAGTTAACACATTCAGATCCAAACTAACCTTGTAGTGCGTAGTTCAGTGCGTAGTTCAGTGCGTAGTTCAATGTGTAGTTCAGTGCGTAGTTCAGTGCGTAGTTCAATGTGTAGTTCAGTGTAGTAAATCTGTGTTTGTCTCTTTCAGTCGGTGTTGTGACAAGAAGAGCTGCGGGAATCGCAACGAGACGCCCTCTGACCCCGTCATCATCGACAGGTAGGAAGTGACCTGATCGCCCTCTGTCAGGACCCTGTCTGTCTCTCCCTCTGTCTCTCTCTCTGTCTCTCCCTCTGTCTGTCTCTCTCTCACACACTGGTTCATCCACTACTCCTAAAGTCGGGTTCAGGTTTGTCCGGCTCAGTCCAGGACTCATTTTACATCAGCTGCTCGAGGTTGTTGGTTTCTGTTTTACAGAAGATGATCTGACTGATAAAGAGCTGAAATGATGGAGAAAGAAGTTGTTGTATTATACTGTGATTGAATATGACAGTGAGTGTCTGTAGAGGAGCTTTGTGGAGTTGAAATGTAATGATGTTGTCTGTATTCACTGATTTACCTTCACTGCTGATTATTTTTCATCCTTCACTTCATTTCTGTGAAAATCTTTTGAGAATCTCTTTTTTTTCACAAATGCCAAAAAGTTGACTCAGTGTGTGCTGACTAGCTTTTTATGGAGCTTTCAACCATAGTTCATGGTCTTCTTGAGTGTATGGGATTGACGAAGACCCCAAGACAAGGTTGAAATCTGTTGAAAAACTCAGTAAGTGGACCTTGAGCGAAGGCGATAGAAAGCACCAAAAAGAATTTCATTAATTAATAACTAATTGTTAAAGAAAAATAGGTTTTAATACATTTGTTTAATTCAATTAAATTCTATGTATTTGTATAGCACTAATTCATAACAGAAGTTATCTCAGGACACTTTTCAAACGGAGCAGGTCTAGACCGAACTCCTTATAACATTATTTACAGAGACCCAACAGTTCCCAGTTTATAAATGAAATGCTTTATTAATGTTTCTGTGACCCTCGTGGTCCTCCGTTGTGTTGGTGCTTTCAAAGACGCTCTGACTTTTGAGAACTGATGTTAAAAAGCAAGACTCTGTAAAAAGAAAACGATGGTTATTTGGTTGTTGGTACTTGAACGCACCATTGTGGAGAGTTTTTCAGTCTGAAGTCTGTGTGAGTTGATTTCTGGATAAAATGTGAGTATTTGTATTTAAAACCTGGAGTTCTGTTGACATCCGGCTGTCAACTCATTTGTTCTGTTTTCTGACGTTTCGCTCTTCCTCACCTCTCACTTCCGACACGATACTCGACAGTGTGAAATGTTTAATCAACACCATAAACGCAGCGCTCAAATCAGATCTGTACATCCTCCAACCTCCATAAATTCTCATTCTCAGACTCAGAGTGGATTCAACGCGACAAAGATTGCAGCTTGTCGACTGTTTTCCTTCCTCCTCTGGACATTAATGCACCCACATCCACTGAGTTCTCTCTGCCCTGCGGTTTGCCTCTCAGGCAACATGCAGGATGTCCTGCCCTCTGGTTGTTGGAGCTTTTTGGGAAGTGTGAGAGGAAGACCTGCAGATATTACAGGGCTGAGAGAAACAGGGAGCAATAAATGATTCAGTTATAAATATAATATTATCCGTCCTGGTTTCAGGTTTCTGTCAAGAAACGTACGTTTCAGTTCTTTTATTTCACTAATAGAAACTTTAAAAGACATTTTCCTGTTATAAGACTGAACTATCTGAAACATTAATATACTGTACATCTATATATCCAATGGTTTTCAACAGAGGGTAAATATCTGTATGTGGATGGATAGATGACAGTGTCAGGAATATAAAAACATGTTGATGGGTGTAAAGAGGAGGCAACTAGTTAGCTGTGGGCTGCAACTTGATCCCAGTTGTTGTGTTTAGGTTATAATGGTCATATTTAGTCTAATTAGCACCATAAAAGCGGCCAAAGGATCAATTAGCAGCTCCTGTTAGCAGTGTTTCTGTGGCTGTACAGACAGACGTCACTGGAGCGCTGCGATACTGAAGGAAATTCTAAAGTTCTGCAGTTATAAGAATAGACTTTTTTCTAATGATTTCCAAGTGGATTTATGGACGTTTGTTCTGGATGGATGTCAGATGTAATAACATGTTCTGGGAGTTTAAAGCACTCTGAATGTAAAACTGTGTGTTTCGTGTCTGTGTGTTTGAATGAGTCTCTGCTGCAGCGCCACCTGCTGAAAAACTACAATAAGTCACTTCCTGATGTCCCTGTCACCTGCTCACCTCTCTCCCTGCTCACCCCCCCTTCAACTCTCCCCCTCACAGTCTGAAGCTGCTATAATCCTCACAGTGTGTTATTTTCTCCGTTGATATGAATATATTTATTGTTGTAGAAGTCTTTGTTGTGTGTGAATCTGAACCTTGACTTTATGTATTTTAAAACACGCGCTGATGATGCCTTCATTTATTTTTCATCCAATGCCACATAAAAAAAAACAACCCTCGTCCCTCAGTGTGAATATTAACTCCAAAACATCACAATCCTTTATTAACGCCGCGCTCGTCCTCGCTGTCTAATCCCTCCGCCCTCGGCGTCCTTGGAGCCGGCGGCTGTCCGTCACAGCACCCGGCTGTGATTGGTCGGGTCGCGGCGGTGGGAGCCGGTGACCTCAGAGGAGGTCAGGAGGGAGAGAGGGGGAGGAGGGAGGGGTTCAGTACCGAGTCCATGTTGGCTCGTTAGAGAGGCCTTGGACCGCGGCCAGGACACACACACAAACACACACACACACACACACACACACACACACACACACACACACACACTCACACATACTCACACACACATACACACACTCACACATACTCACACACACACACACACACACACACACACAGACACCTATACACGCACACACACACACACACACACACACACACACACACACACACACACACTTATATAAGAGAAATGCATACAGTGCACACATGTTCATACTTGCTGAAGTGTGTCTACACACACACACACACACTCTCACCTCGGGCTGTGTGTGTGTGTGTGTGTGTGTGTGTGTGTGTGTGTGTGTGTTTGATGAGTGTTTTTAGAGGCTTTGTCACCTCTCTCTTTGTGTTCTGTCACATATGAGATGGACTCTATTCGTCCAACATCTACAGACACAGTGCATTGTGGGTAACGCTGCTGGGTAGACTCCGTCGTCAGAGCGATCCGTGGTTTCATAGCGAAGATAAAAGTCCAAAAATATAAAAGATATGTTGATTTTATTATTTCAGATCTTGTTAATCCAGCTGTGTTCATCTGAGTCTCTTTTTTAAACTTTATTTAAAAGTTTTCTTTATCTTCCGTATAATTGTTGTTTATGTTATCTTAATCTACAGAAGGTTTATATTATGTAACTGGTTCCTTATGTCTATAAGGTATATATTTATATTATATTTATATTATATTGTATTCTTTCTGTACTCTCTCCCTCTGTGCTGATGTGTTCCTACAGGGGATCAATAAAGGAACATTTTATATATATTTTACTGGTTAAATTAAAAAGATCTGTCCAGGTTTAAAATCACTGATGGAAACTAACTAAACTAACTCTTCAGAGCGATGTGTGACTGTTGGTTCTATGACCTTTTTAACATGTTAACATTTAACTTATGTGAAGTGTCTTTTGAGTACCATGAATACACGTGATGGAGAGAGGGCTCTGAGATATGGGAAGTATTGGGTCAGATTGAAGTAATATTATAGTATTATAATAAAATATAATAGTAATTTTTAATATATTATTTCTTTGTGGTAAAACATATTATTTTGAGAGACAGGGAAACAGGCAGATAAAGCTGATAATAAACACCACTATGAATGTACAATGTTTAATAAAGACTTTATAATGAGTGCGAGTTGTTAGTTGTTACATAGCTTCAACTATTATTATAGTTTTTATTTTTATTTCATTTTTAATTTTTGTTTTAAATTCAGTTTCATTTAGTTTCCAGAGTTGGTTGGATTGCTTTAGTTTAGTTTAAATATTTCTTGTCTATTTTTATTTTACTTTACGTTTTAGTTCATTATAATAATCTGGTGATGACTCATGAGAATGATGAATGAAGTCCAGAAAATGTTCTTTATAGTCTGAGACAGACTTCTCGACCCGGTGAGGAGCAGCAGGACTTTATTCTGTGATAGGAATGTAAATATATCACAATATATTGCGAGGTGGTTAAATCGCGATAGAAATAAATATTGAAGAAAACTTAAAATCATGAAGATTTGAAGGTTCTGCAGTTATAAGGAGCCCAGTTATTTTTTAAGATGGTATTTGTTATATTATGTCTAATTAGCACCATTGAAAGAAGCCAAATGATCTATTAGCAGCTCCTATAAGCAATGTTTCTGTGGCTGTATGTCACTGAGTTACTGCCATACTGAAGGAAACTTTAAAACATGAAGACTCTCAGGCAAGTTCTGCAGTTATATGGAGCGACTTTAGAGTCATGACTCTGAGCAGAAGTTTGATTTTTGGTGCAAATCGGGCAATTTATAACTAATAATCAATTATATTTGTTATATATATAAATATGTGAAGAATTGTGGATTTAACTGTCGAATCTTTAACGCTCCTCTCCTGGTGGATGCAACAACCAGCAAAGATCTCTGCCGCCATCTTGTTCATCATCTTCTTGACAGACAGACAGACAGACAGGCAGGCAGGCAGGCAGGCAGACAGGCAGACAGGCAGGCAGGCAGGCAGGCAGGCAGACAGGCAGGCAGGCAGGCAGGCAGACAGACAGGCAGGCAGACAGACAGTTGCGGTGTGTGTTCAGTATCAGTTTGCGTTCGGTAATGTTCTGAACAAAATGTCTGAAATGGTTCTCCTGGTTGTTTCTCTGCAGCTCGACCGCTTTAATTAGGACACGACAGGACGCTGATACTAGTCCACTAACCCAGGGAATACACACACACACACACACACACACACAGTTATTAATGCACACACACATATATGTGCAGACACACACACTGTGTCAGTGCTCTGTCTGTGATTTACTGCGGCTCTGCTTGTTTCTCTGCATTTTAGCGCCTGTTAAGAAATGCAGGATTTATTACTATGACCCCCCCCAGTACACACTTAAACACACACACACATACATAGGGGTGGGGGGGGCAGTGTTGGGGGTGTTTTAGTGTGTTTAG